GATAAGTGTTGCAAAGACTATGAGGTCCATCATTGTGAAGAAGCTTCTTGCAATCAGAGGTGTGTACAAGAAAACTTCTGTAAGAATGGAGTATGCAAAATCAGACAACATCACCATGTTTGTCATTGTGCATGTTAGAATAATGAACTCATGCATGGTGTAAAATAATGACAAATTATTGATAATAAAGTATTGTCTCCCAATAAATTATTCAATAATAAACAAAGAATCAATCTATCTTATGAAATATTATTATTAAAATAAAAAACCATTGCCCTAATATGGTAAACATTAACATTTTCTTTACCTCTACATAATGTAGAATAAATTATTCCTACATTCTAAACCATTTAATTAACTATCAAACCAAGGACGACCATGGAGAAAATTGTGACTAAAATAATATCAAATTATGCACATTACTAGCTCTACAAAAAGTGGTAGTTTAGACACATGAAAAACTAAGCAAGCTTTAAACTTCAATCATGTAAACCCTCTCCATTGTCATGAATCATTATTAAGAAAAGGTGGCAGACTCTGACATACTGGAGTATGGCGAAGTTAGATATACGCAGGCTTATCAGCCCGCAAGCAAAGATATTGTTTCAAGACTTTGTATTCACTAACCAACAATCTTACTAAATAATCATTCAGACACGTGAAAAACTAAGCAAGCTTTAAACTTGAATCATGTAAACCCTCTCCATTGTCATGAACCATTATTAAAAAAAGGTGAAATACGCTCTAACTTAGTGGAGTATGTGGAATTTAGATATACGCTAGCAAAGACATTATTTCGACTTGTGACCTCGTATTCACTAAGCAAGAATCTTACTGTTGCGCATATGAATAAGTGAAGAAGCTAAAAAAACATAGAGTTTATTCATACAAACCTGATATAGAAATGGTGAAAAGAGTTTAAGTTGACAACAACAAGTTTCTTTGAAAGTTGAAACAAGAAATAAAACCAACCCAAAAAAAGAAAAGGTGATGATTGGAATCATGGAATGTGAATGTGAAGAAGGTAAATAGAAGAAAGAAGAAGGTTGAATGTTGGTTAATGTGATTAATGAATGAGAGTTACTAAGTTAATGGAGTAGAATGAAGAGTGAAGTGGAAAAGTCTCATTCCTTTTACTAATGATAACTACATCACAATATCAACATGAACATTTAGGCTTACTTGGGTATCAGGCATTTTGTGCCTGCCAACATTCATACTTTTCAATTTTTATACATCTAATATTTCAATGTAAAGATTGTCATTATATGATTCATCATTTATTTGGATTATTTTTCATGGAAGAGTCAATAATAATTAAAAATAAATAATAAATAATGTATAGAACTTACACAGTATTGGTGTATACATTTTTCTCTTATTTTATTTTAGAGAATTATATTTGATTCACACCCAAAAAAAATTATGAAAAGGGTGATTTGGACGGAGTGGTACAAATTTAAGGGGTAGCTTACACTTTTCACCGAATTCCCATTAGTCGTACACACCCTTAATCGTATTCACCGAATTCTCCCATAAATATAATCCTTACCACATCGGGTAGATCTAGTTGATTATCCACACCACATTGGGCAGGTCGAGTTTCCACATTTTACTCACATCCATGTCATGCACAATCAACACAAGGCATCTTATTATTTTATCACCATAAAATAACACACAACACCTTCATTGTCACAAACATACATTTATACGTTTTAACACTTTAACAGTTCATCACACAGTCATTGTGACACACACACCCATATAGGTTTATAACAATCAACAACTCACAAAATACTCATTTTAATAAACATACTCATTTTAATAAACATACTCATATCCCTTTTAACACATTAATAGCTCATCACACATTCATTGTAACAAACACAACCATACATGTTTATAACCATAAATAACTCACACACCATCATTATCACACGACATAATCATTATCATAAACAAACCACGCATAACATATCCTTCATCATATACACATTAACGTTAGAACCATCTTTAATGACGGTGTATTACCATAAATGACCATATTGTGTTTTTCTTAGATAAACGGTTTTCCCCACACATATATCTCCATTTTTATGGCTAATACATCCTCATGTAAAATAAAGACTCTCTCATGGACCACAAACTCCCAAGAGAGTTTCCATCCGTTAATGTGCTCCGATTCTTGAGGAAAATCGAAGATGATGACTCTAATGAAATACTCTAAGACCACAATGGTCTTCTCCCTCACTTTAGGTTGCGTAAGCTCCATGGATCCGCGAAGAGCTCCATCTACCTCCATCTCCTTCAAACCCCATTGTTGCTTTTTCATCTCCAAAGCTCTCCAATGTTCCATTAAGAAGCAAGAGGAAGGGGTTTTGATGTGTTTTTGAGGTTTAGTGGAGGAAGGAGTCGAAATCCATGGGGAGCCGCCATTGGGAGTGAAAGGGAAGAAAAGAAAATGAAGATTAGGGTTTGTGAAACCCTCTCTTTACTTTTATAGTTGTGTATTCTCGCTTGGGCGAGAATATCTCACTTGGGCGAGAAACTCACGATATTTTAATTTCCCAGACACGTGCTCTCTTGCTTGGGCGAGATTTTCTCGCTCAAGCGAGGCAACTCTCGCTCAAATGAGGATCCTCTCGCTCAAGCGAGGATCTTACAGCCCTGACAGGTCTGAATGCAACTTTTCTCGCTCAGACGACAGCCTTCTCGATTGGGCGAAACCCTCTCGCTCAAGCGAGAATCTGGAAGTATGCCCTCTTCTTCAGGGTTGTTACCTCTTTTTCAAGGAGGATAAATTCAGGGTGTCACAATTACATTGACAGTCTCTTAGTTTTATTGAAAGTACATAAATCACACCTCTATTTTTTAAACCTACACAAACTACCCATAATTATATACATAAATTACACTAACTATCAATGTAGCCATGTAGGGGTAAACTGTAACACCCTAAAATTATCCTCCTTGAAAATAGGTAACAGTCCTGGAGAATGGAGCATACTGTCAGATTCTCGCTTGAGCGAGAGGGTTGACAACAATAAGTTTCTTTGAAAGTTGAAACAAGAAATAAAACCAACCCAAAAAAAGAAAAGGTGATGATTGGAATCATGGAATGTGAATGTGAAGAAGGTAAATAGAAGAAAGAAGAAGGTTGAATGGAGGTTAATGTGATTAATGAATGAGAGTTACTAAGTTAATGGAATAGAATGAAGAGTGAATTGGAAAAGTCTCATTCTTTTTACTAATTATAACTACATCACAATATCAACATGAACATTTAGGCTTACTTGATGCCTGCCAACATTCTTAGTTTTCAATTTTTATACATTTCAATGTAAAGATTGTCTATATGATTCATCATTTATTTGGATTATTTTTTTATGGAAAAGTCAATAATATTTAAAAATAAATAATAATTAATGTATAGAACTTACACAATATTGATAAATATATTAGTTGTGTGTTTGATCTCTCATACCAATATTTTGGTAAAAATAAGTCATTTTCATCAAAAATATAATTTTAAATAAAATTGGTTGGTATGACGGGTACTGTTCAACTGAAAACCACCAGTTATGACCGATTTTGATTGATTTTAACTGGTATGATTGCATGACTTATTTCCTCTATGCTTGACTATTTTGTCTCAAATACATAGGGATAGAAGGTGCAAGAGCATAGATTATGGGGAGAGGCAAGAAGATAAATAAAGATCATCTCTCCCAACTTCCTATCCCCATTCTTGTGGACTCAAGTAAAATGAACACATCATCTTCCCATGAAGAAAAATGAAGATTCTAAGTAATTTAGCAATTTTCATGGACTTATGAAACACCTAATATGGAAAATTCAAACATTTCATTATCTTTTAATCCTTGTACGGGGAATTGAAAGTTTGGCTAAGTGTTCGGTTCTGTCATGAATCTTGAAGACGCACTTGAGATAAATATCATATTCGGTGCAGACAATGAAATGTTAGAAGAGGTGGACACTCTTTTCCTCATTCAAACACATTATTCGAGATTAGCTATAGGTGCTAAAGAGTTTAAGAAAAATTAAAAATGTTACAATTTCACGCAACTATCGAGGTATCAATTAACAATGGCCGATAGGATGCTAATATATTCATAAATTCGTCATCAACTTCCAAATCTTGAATTCTTATTCACATGCCATATTTTCCAATAGTTGGCCATAAAGAGATACATCGTATCCAAAAATGTGATGATGACTACAAAAACATCACATGATGATGGATTATCCTCTATCTCTAGATTGTAGAAGGCCAAAAGTCTCGACACGACAATAATAAAGATTATATTTAGTCATACAAAAATATAGGTCTAGACAAATATATTTTGACAAATTCCTCATGCACCAACAATGTTCTTCAATAACATAATTGACTTTTCTTTATTGTCATGGGAGCAATTTTTAGACTATATTAGTGAAATTTTTAAGGAATAAAGTTTCGAATACTATTTCTAATGATTTAGAATACATAATTGAAAATTGAAGTTAATATTGATATGTTATTGGAGGTGTTGATATCGTAAACCTTTTGATATTATTGTGTTTTGTTTCTAAGGAAAAACTAAATGTGTAACAAGAGAAACTAAAAAGAATGAGTAAGAAAATTAGAATAACATACGATATAATAGAATATATCACATATCATTATTATAATGTATCTATTACTTATTAGGATTGGTTAGAACAATATGAAATTATTAAGAGTATATATTTTTATACGGTTAGTGTAAAGATTTATATATAATTAATGTATTATGCATCATTTATTTATATTTTTCAAGAATCAATGATGATTGAAAAGCAAATTTGAATAATGAACTGCCGATATATAATTTTTTTTATAGTACATACATTTTTCTTTATTTGAAATATATTATTTAAAAAAATACCTTTATTTTCGGCTGTAGTTTATCAATGACTTTGGGCCATAGACTATTTCTTTGCCCCATTTGGCCCAATCCCAATTACATAGCAATAACAAAACCCTAATCGCAGCAATAACAAAACCCTAGACAATGCATCTCCCTTATATATACCGCTACACTTCACAGCCTCCAAATCAAGCTCACACCAACCATGATTCTCCCTCATCCCTCCAAGAAAATCATCAAAAATAGGATCAATTTTAGGTTTCAGTGTCCTTATAGTGATTGCAAGATCTCTGTTAAGGTATAAAATCAAAGCATTACATGAAGTTTTTTTTAACTTGTGTTGATGTTTAAGTGCATAAAGTTGAGATCTTTGGATTTAATTGATCAAGACTTTGCATTTTTTTGTCATTGTTGATTATAATGTTTTGTTTGAAAAGGATATGATGATTCTTATTGTCGCCCCAGTCTTAATTTGCACCATAAGGTGTAAGATGGTGATTGACCTTTTAATCTGATCCTTCATTCTTAGCTTTTGTTTTTGATTTAATTTTTCTAAACTTTATTACATTTTTCTTATTTTTGTAACTAGTTTATGTATAATTTGAGTTTTCTGTGCTAATGGGATATGAAGATAACTTTGTTTAGCAACACCCAGTCTTACCATTTAATGTGTGGTGAAAATCTTACTATCTGATCCCATATACAATTTATAATTTTAATTTGTTTTAACTTGCTTTGATTTAAAAAAAAAACATTTTTTCATTTGTTTATTGAGTATTAAATTGTTTATTGTGTTTATTGTTCATGATATTTTGATAACAAGGTTTATCAATTATTTTTAACTTCAAAATCATTGTATTTTAAATTGTAGTACTATAATATTTTTTGTACTAACATGCAAAGAGATATGATGATGTTTTACCATATAATCTGCAATTGAATGATGATCAAAACATGCACTACCATCTGATCTCTTACAATGTTACTACATTTTTTTTCTGTTGTAATTTCTAAAACAAGTTTAAGGTTCTTATTTGTTTTATACTTTGTTTTTGAGTTTATCTCACTCTATAATGACATAATGTTATATTTGCCTATGGTATCTGATGTACAGATTTAAGACTTGTTGTCTATGTTGCTGGACATTTCGTTTAACGGGCATATAAAGATTTTTATAGGACTTGCGACACAGATTGCTTTTGTTATATATAAGCTTTCTGTTACTATTATCCTGTTTACATTTTCTGCATAACTCAAGTTAACTTTGTTTGATTTTTTTCTATTAACAATCTTTTTCTTCTGCAATCTGTGATGCAACTTTATGTCCTAGTGTATGATTATTCTGTGATTATTTACATAAAAATCACCATCTTTCGGCTGAGATTGCAGATCTACTTGTTATTCTGTGATTATAAACAACCATATACCTGCCTATGTTTTAGTTTGAGAATCTCATGGCTAAGTCTATGATAGAGTTTGTTATTTTATTCAATGTGAGATTCTTAATATTGCCACATTTTGGTGGCTGCTGAAGTCAATTGTGGCTTTCACTCTATTGACACCGATAAGCTCTTTCCTTTTTATCTCTTCACTCACACATTTCATGAAATACACTAATTTCGGAACAGCTTCTTAATCATCAAATCTTAAAGCATCATACAATTAATCACTCTCAGATCCATCAAAGTCTATCTCATTATCAGGATGTTCCAAATTTATGTAACTTGATTGTGAACAATGCAATGGGAGTGGACTATAGTCAAGATCTATATTTGGAAAAAATGACTAGGAACATAAGTTGTTATACTAATGTGAATAAAATCAATAAAAATAACTATAATTCTACCATTCCTGGGTTTTCACACTGATAAATTAGAGTTAACTTCAATAGGATTTGTAGGCAATTAGATTTGAAATAATATAATTAAACTAAAATTATTTAACTAAACCTTTTAAAATAAATAAACTAAACTAATTTGAATAATATAATCACTCCAATCTAATTACAGTTAATTAGTGATAATTAAACAACTAAATTGCGTTCAATCTCTTTTTTTTCTCATTATGTTTATTGTTTTTGTTTTTTGGGCCAATCAGAAGTTTACACATTCGAGACAAAATTAATTTAATAGTTTATTGATTTTGATTACTCTATTATGATTGCATTATTGTATATATTAGTTGTTTTTAGGGTTGATACATGCTACTAGATTTTGACCCTTTTTATTTTGCTAAAACCTGTAGAAAGATGTACATGGGGTTGTGCAAGTAATATTACATTAATTTCATCTCTAATTTAGTCTCATTTTTTTTGTTATTTATCTGTTCAACTCCTTTTTTAGTTCTTATGTGATTTAACTCAGTATAAAATTGGCTAAATGACGCGCTCAAGTTCTTAAGTAATGTAATTTTATTATAACGCAGTTATCTACTTTAATCGTTTCAATAAAATCTACTTAATAAATTAGATGTGAATTAATATCAATAAAACTAATTAGATTTGGAAAACCCATATCTCAGAAGGTCTAGTAAATCTAATATCACATAATTCACCTAATTTTTAAGTCTTATTAAACAGTCAATTAAGTTATTGGCATTATAAATATTAGCGTATCGATAGACATGTACCCGCATTCTTATTTATTATATTGGAAGTATTTAATTTTTATATATTTTATTTTATACAATTAGAATGTTTTTGTATTAAGAGTATGATAAAAATATATATTTATTATAATTCAATTTAAGGTAAGAAATGTTGTAAATATGCAAATGAAATTAACTTAGGATTATATGGTTTTTTTTGTATAAATTAAAAAATGTAAGGGAAAAATAGAGAAATAGAAATTACATGGTGATAGTTATTTAATGTTTTGGTTTTATATATAGTATAGATATAGATAAATGTCGTCAATGTGTTGGTGTAGGATAAATTGATGATGTAAATATTTTTGCCCAATCATTACATAATTTATGTACGCTTACATTTTTTTGATAATGCAGTTAAATAACTTTCCCCCCTGAGAAAACTATAGGACGGAAAGATAATATTTAAAGATGTGAAAATAAGCATACCTTTTCGTTAGTTTTACTTTCAAATTAACTTGAGAGAATCTACATTTGCCAAATAAGTACTTATCAATAAATTTACTTATTTAAAAGCAATCTACAAAATGATAAAAACTTCAATCATGTCCCACTAATTGAAGTCCATTACCTTGCCCACTGCATCAGAATTCCAAATGAAGGGCATGTTGAAGCATTTGGTTTAAGACCATTTGGTTCTGCTCTATTATAGTAATCATCATTCATTATATTATAATAAGCATTTCCATTTTGTTTGCCTTTCAATCTCAAGCCATTGGAATTGATTTTGACTTCCCAGCTGCAAGTTGCTATTTGAGAAGACTTACTAACCCTTCAAGATATGAACTGGCCATGATTATGACTCAACACCCATTTTTAGCTATACATCAATGAACTCAGTTTTGGTTCTTATAATAATAGAGTAAAAATAGGACAACTCATTATACGAGACTCTCACTTAATACAGTAGGATGATAGATGTATGCAAACTTACACTACAAGCGAAAAGACTGTTTACATAATTTGAACCTGTAACCTCATGATTAATACGCAATAACTTTATTGTTTCGTCAAACTCACCACGATAACAAAGTCATTGACAATATCAGTTAAATGAGAATAGCGAATGGAACCCGGGGGAACCATTTCAATTTTGCCACATACACAATGGAAGCTCATTCTCAATGCTCAGGAAGAAGTGGAACCAAATTAGAGCTACCACAGAATGCATCAGAAAGTGCAGATTCCTAGTAATTTATTCTTAATAAAAACAGGCATAATGAAGATCAGACATAACATGGGACACAAATAAAACACACACAAGGATACGACAAAGGAATATAAAATAATATAGACTATGGTTAACAGTGTCCAAAACTATCTAATATAGATTAATATATATACTACGGAGAACATTAGAGGGAGTGTTTGACAAGTCATGTACAACCAAGGCACTAAAAAGAAACACAATTAAAAAAATTCAAAAGACATTATGTTGGTGAAGCAGGCTTTTCAATTACTAAAAGAAAACAAATGATGAATACAAGGACTGAAATGACTAGAAACACTCTCTGAATATGTATTTTAATAAGAAATGTGAATCAGATGTACATTTGGATCCAAACTGAAGAAAAAATGTGCAAGCAGACTAAATCCTTAACATCATTTTAGTTGCCACTAAATTGGTGCCCTATGCTATGAAACCAAGCACATAAGCACATACTTCTTCAAGGATCAAAGCAGAAACAAAATGATAATGCCTACCTCTTGAGGGATATAATGGGTGAAGCCCACAATCTTTTGATTGGATTGGAATATATCAACAATGGAAATGTTAAAATCTCACAAATGAGTCGAGGCAAAAGCAGTAAATTTGTCAACATCACATGGTCAAAAGCAAAGACCTTTCAGCACATATGTTTCTCAATATAAATGGAAGATTGCCAAGAAGACATCTTTCATGCAATTGTGGATGGAAATAATGAGTTATAAGATAATGTAGTTCAAAGTTGAAAGCCCTAGAGAGTTTCTCATTTAACATTAGGAACAGTGTGCAATGACAAAGTGCTTATTACATTAGTCACAACAAGAAGGCTTTCCTAGATACATACAAGGCCTGAGAAAAAAATAATTTCCTTGTCACAACAATTAGGCGGGTTAGAATCACAGAATGCAGATGATAAGAAGAATCAGATACTGTTGTAAAATGAAACCCTTTCTTGAGGTATAAGAATGAATACATAATAGCATCATTAATGGATGTCAAAGTGGAGATGGTGGTCTACCAAGAAAATGGTAATTCCATAGCTGTTAAGTTATTCCAATGATGTAAGCACACAGAAATGATGAAAATAATTATAGGTATGGAAGGTATTAGACTTGTAAAAATTGTAGGGCCATGCAAAGCTTGGACGATTTAGACAAAAAGTTTGGTTAGAAAATTTGTCAGGGTATCAATTTGTCTTTTAAAATGAGAATTCACTGTATTATGCATGTTGGTATATCATCTATAACTTGGACAAAATTATGCAGAGCCACCAACCAAACTCTATGAAATAAACCCACAAATGTTTATAATCATTTCCAAGTTAAACTGTTAAAGACAGACATATTTCCAATCATCAAATGCAATCTTAAAGGGCTTCAGCAAATTTTGCATTGACTAACTTGGCCTTTAAGCCCTTCTTAATTTTCAATTGGATTTGGTCATTCTGTGAGAAAATAGATACATAACGAAAGAGGAAGACAGAACTCAACAGCTTTTTACAAAATGCACATGTGATATGATAATGTAAGAGGGCGAGCGAAGGGGATTCAATAGTATGTATACAAAATCATAACAAATAAAATGAATCAATCATCAATACAATAAAAGAACAAGCAAGCACATAAAGAAGCTCAATTTAACCCGATGGTATTAACCTGAATCTGAAGCGAAAAGGAAGGCCTGATTGAACCCATAAGTTTTGAATAATCAATCAAAAAACATGAGCGTTGACTTGATTAGCACGTATTAACTCCATCCTTGCAATCTTGAGTCAGATTATAGAATGTCTCCACACGTGTCTTTCCACGGTAAAAGACTTCTGTATCCACTGCAACTCTCATGTACCCATCAAACTCAACAGGTTTTCCATTGTTGAGAAGACTAGTTTCGTTGTACCACTCACTTGTATTTCCCCACAGTTCGTTATAATCATCAAGCAAATGGACCTTATAATTCGATCTCAACTTATCAAAGTAATTATAAAAAGGCTCGTTGGTGGCAATATACAAATTTCTCCAAGGCTGAACCATCCTTTTAAGTTTCTCTACAAGAGCATCCGGCGACGTGTCAGAATCCAAATGAGGCCATAGGTCCTTCCTCTCAGCTTTCTCTCCCCGAATCACATGCACTGCATCGAAATCCCAGTCCATTCTCCCACTGATCTCTGTAACAATATTCATCAATCTCTTCGACTTCCACAGAGCATGCCATGGTCTTTGGACGTGCTTCGCAGCCTGACCTTCACAAACCCTAAACCAGTAATTCTCCGGCTCGGGCGCATCAAATTGCCTCCATATGATAGTACTCTTATCTTTCTTAAGCTGCATTGGAGTGACCTTGTGAGTGACAACCTTCTTAACCGGGACCTTCCTCTTCTTCGGATGGTTCTTATCCCACTTCTTCCAATCCCTCAAGAACTCACCTTCCTCCACAATAGAAGCCTCTTCTTTCAAATGCTCGAAATCGAAATAGTACCTAAAATCCTTCCCTTCCACATCCTTATTGCTAGGGTTATAAGTTGCAGCCAAACACATACTCAAATCAATCACAAAAGTCCTATTCAAATACATAGCCTCACCCAACCCGCACAAAAAACTCCACATATAATGGTTCATCCCCTTGCAATAATCACCACCTCTAGAGTAATACAAATACTTCCCATTCCTAAAATTAACCTGTGATCCTAAGCTAGGTATAGTATCATTAATCTCATCATCACGGTTCAAATTATTTGAAATTCGCGGAAAATTCTTCCCCTTGCCACCTGCACCAGTGGCACGAGGAAAATTCCGCCGCGCATTCAAACCAGAATGCCATCCCCCAGCATGAACCACCTTATACCTGCAATCATCAGTAATCCCAATCTTAAATCTTCGAAAATCACGATACTTCCGCCACGACTTCTCCTTCTTATTACGAAACCGCCACGCAACATCACACTCATCAGAACCAGAACCATTAACCGGCCTCTGATACTCAAAGAAAACAATAAACCTAAACGCTCTGAGATTGAACCGTTGCACCGCGACCAAAACGCGAGGATCAGAGCAATTTAGGGTTCCAGAGGCACAAGCAGCAGAGGGAATAGGCGAGGTGGAGTTATCGATCTTATCCTCAGTTATCTGAATTTGTAATTCAGTAACAGGAGCGCGTTGCGGTGGAAGAGTGATATCTTCACCGGTTTTGATAATAGATGTGTCAACGTGGAAAGTGGCGTTTTGTGATTGGGTGAAGAGTTGAGTAAAGGGTGGAGCAGATTGGAGCCATGGGTCAGGTGGTTGGTAAGTGATGGCTATGACAGTGAAAATAAGGACAGAGAAAACGAAGAAAGAGAAACAAATGTTGCTTATTAGTTTTATCAGATTTTGGCCAATTGCTTCTGTTGTATTGGTAGTGGAGTTTGAGTGATTCATTGTTTTTGAAGTGTTTATTTAGTGAATATGGGGAATGAAATGAGAGAAAGGTGAAGAAGAGGGAAGGGTGGGTCTGAAATTGTGGGTGGGGGTGTTACTCACTTAACCAGCATGAGTTAGATGTGAGAGTTGGTACTTCCACAGAAACAATGCCTTTCACTTTACTCAACCCCTTATCACTTTTTTGATTTATTAGAGGATGACAAGTAATTTTTTTTGTTTATTATCAAAGTCAAAAAATATTTGATTGTAAATCTAATAAATGTTTCTTATTTAAAAATAAACAAAAATGTTTATGTATCATCATCTAATAAGTCATATGTACTATGGAGGTAGTTATATCTTATAGCTTGTAGGTGTGAGCTTGTAGTTATATCTTATAGCTTGTAGCTATGGAGGTAGCTCAAAGCCTCTAGTTATGAATGTAACTTATTAAGCTAAAACTATTCGGTAAAAAGAACTTTGTAATTAGCTGAAATTTAAAAAAATGAATAAAAATGACATACATTATTTACTTTGTTATTTATTAATTGAAGTAATTAAACACATAGAAAATTTAAAATAATCATCTGTTTTTATATTTTAGTTATAATTGAATATATAATATTTTATTTATTTGTTTGTCTTATTTTAAAAGATACAAGTATTGTTCGACAAACCTTTAAAGTAATTTTTCAGATAGCTATTGAAGGCGTTTGATAAATAAAAATTGAAAGTAACTTGTAGCTTTTAAAAAACGAGCTTATAGTGTACGAAAGCTACTTTTCAAAAGTTACTTCAAGTAACATTTAGAAAGTAAAAGTGACTTTTCGCTTACCACTTTTACCCTTTAATATTTTAATAAATTATATTACATGCTTATTATGGGAGTTAACAAGATAAATTATTTTCTTTTCAGAATCTTTTTTTATGAATAAATTATTTTTCACTTGATTTTTTTTGTGATGTATACATTATCCTTACATTTGATTGTTAGATGAATGTGTAAAATATTTTATATTACGACTTTGTTCATGAAAAGTAACTTCTAGCTAATAAGGTAGTTGTAAGCTTGTAGCTATGAAGATAACCTATTACATTTAAGTTGTTCGGTAAAACGAACTTTGTAAGTAAGTGAAATTTTAAAAAATGATTATTTGAGTTGTTCGGTAAATGCATATATAATTTAAAATAACAATTTATTTTATATTTTAGTTATAATTACATATATTAATATAACATTCTATTTATTTTAATATTTTTTATTTTCAATATTTGTTTTGTGAAAAAACAATTAAGCTGTATAAGTTTATAATATTCTGCTACCATTGACGCTATATATCATTAAAAGATATGATACAAAGTGATAATCATTGGAAAACCACACAAATGGAGGGGGCTACTAATTTTTTCTATGTAAGGAAATGTAAATGAGGGAAAGATAAGAGTGAAAAATAAGGTTAATAATTTTTTTAATCGAGGGCATTAATATAATTTGTTAACATATTGAGGAGCAAAATTATAAATGGATAAATTTGTTGACTTTCTAAAAGTTACTTCAAGTAGTTTTCAAACCCTACAAAATCATTTTTTAAAAGCTACAAACTATATTCAATTTTTGTTTATGGAACGCTTCTAATAGCTTTTTGAGTTCAAAAAGCTACAAACTACCTGAAAAACTACTTTAAAGGTTTGTCGAACATTACTTATATGTGATTAAATATATTATAAATTTTCATGTTTAGATAAAATTTCATCAATATTCTAATAAATACATAACTCAACATATGAAATGATATACATGAATATATGAATATATTTTATAAATCATTTGCATATATAGTGAAAGGATTAGAAAACTAATGCCATATGAAATGATAACCCTTTGTTGTATTAAACCATTCCTAAATAATTAACAATTGCAAAAGCATTGTTAAAAAAAATAGATTGGTGCAACCAAATATATTGTTTTCCATCAAAGAAATGTTATTACTAAAGATAACAAAATCATTATTATTATTTTATAATACATTTTAGTCATTGAATTATAGTGACTAGGTTATCACCCATATATATATATATATATATATATATATATATATATATATATTACTATTCATGTAATAATGGCTTACATTTGTATTTGTTATTACAAAATATATAACTATAATTAAACATGAAAACTCATTGTGTACTCGCGAATACATATCGCCGAATTTTTATCTATAGTTATTATTCTTTACACAATTGAACAAGTACATAAAAACAAAAGTCATCAATATAATGAGCATAATCCAAGCAAGAGATATATTTTACCCGATCCTACATAATGATCAAGACAAACTTTTGAATACGACTCCGGTATTGATTCAATAAGGCTCAACCATACACATGTTTAATTAAGACCAAACCAAATAAGGTGAACTAGTAGAGTAGAATCATGCTCACCCTTTGTGAGGAACTCATGATTTTGTTTTATTCTTAAACCTTGAGAGCATATCCATCGAAGAATACCAAATTCATTCTTATTTGAGTCACATACATTATTTTATAATTTATTATGCATCTCAATGTATTAAAAATAACATTTACTTTTCTCACAATGACAAATATCATTATTCCTTTTATTTGGGTTTCACAACCTATCCAAACAGTTTATCTCTTCACTTTTCCGCCTTTAGAGTTCACATTTACTCATAAGAATAGACATGATAATGTTTTTGTGCAAATAGTATTTTTAAGAAATAAGAATTGTACGAGAGTAAATAATGTTCTTATTTGAATACGAATGAGTTGATGGAGACACTCTAAGTGCCATCCAACTAAATTACGGATATACGTTGGTCTAAATTTATAGTTTTTTGTATTATTATGATAAGGTAAAATGCTAATTAAATAAATAAAAAATTTAGAAAATTGTGAATCCTCTCAAATTTTAATATTGGAGAGGAGTTTTATAGGGAACCTAGATTTAAAACTGTTAAAAGTGTGGGCCATAATTTCTAGATCTACATTGGTTTTTAAGGGCAAAAAAGAACTTGTTCCAAACTAGGGTTTTGATTAGTGTGTGTATATCATGCCCACACTTCTAATATTGGTGGCTAATTATGAATGTGTAAGACACTTATTCTTCATAAACATAATACATGAGAATTTTGAGAAAACGGGACAAAAATCATGTAGAACAGATTGTGATTGGCCCGGGATCCCAAATGGGACCCTGTCCCATCTAATAAAATTGTATCAAATAATATAAAATATTATTTTATATTTTTATAACTTTTTTATTTCAATTAAATGACACACTTTAATTGACCCGAGACACCAAATGAAACAACAGATCTTAGTTCGGTAAGGCATGGCAGGTGATGAACAAGAATTCTCTACCCAAAGGAAATTCATCTCAATTTCTCCATCCAATAAAATTATATAAAATATTATTTTATGTTTTTATAACTTTTATTTTTCAAATTAAATAACACATTTTGATTGGTCCGGGACACCATCGAAAACACCAAATAGGACAACATAAATTCATGAGTAAATTACACTCACACCCCCTGAGTTTTAGTGAAATTACACAAACCACCCCTCACTTTTTTGTCCTTACACGAACCACCCCTAATTTTGTACATATGTTACACTAACTACCCCTACATAATATAAAAGTGTAATATTTTAAACAAAAAACGTATGATGTGTGTAATTAATTAAACAAAATATTGTATATTATGTAGAAAAATTCAAATAATATAAGAGTCAATGTGTCTTCATTATTTGACTCGTTATAAAATAATATAAGAGTTATTTCAACATTTATTTGAAATTATTAATGTATTTTTTAATGACACAAAAATAATAAAGAAACATTCGCTTTTGTACTATTTGAAGTGTTACACAATATACAATATTTTGTTTAACTTAATTACATTCATCACACATTTTTTCTTTAAAATATTACACTTTTATAACATGCAGGGGTAGTCTGTGTAATGTATGTATAAATCTAGGGGTGGTTTGTGTATGAGAGAGGGGTGGTTTGTGTAATGACAAAGAAGGGATAGGTGGTTTGTGTAATTTCATTAAAACTCAGGGATGTGAGTGTAATTTACTTTAAATTCATTCGATGAGGTGCTATGATTATAGAGTTAATGTAGTATGATATCGAGACCATACTCGACAATGTATAACTTACATATCATTATTAGATTCGACTTACCAGATACCACATGTCAAGAAAGTTATTAAGCAAGTGTGAAAGTTATTTGACCCACTTAGATTCTGAGTGTATTAGCCATAATTACTTTCAGAACAGATTTAAATAAGATAACCGTAATTTTAGTAGTATGCATGTTATCCAGTGAATAACATCATTGTTTTAATGTGTGTATATGCTAGATGCGAGAGTCCCACAACGAGTTCCACTTAAACCAGAATGAAGTCCCACACCGTGTAACAGATAGTTGCTTCACTTATAGCTGTAATATATAAAGCTAGCCTTATATTGTTTACAAAGCACGGAGCCATGCAATAAACACAAAGCGAACTATTCTTTCGCCTTTTACTAAAGAATACCGTGCGTTTGTTGCTTTGAGTGGCATACGCTAATTTTTTGAAAGGAGACCTTCTAATCGGAGGTTCTTACCATCAATAGTTTAAACTTTAAAGGACAATTCTCTAAATTGATATGGTTTTTTTTGCAAGTGGATATTTATATTGTTTACTTTTATCATATTAATAATAAGTAAATGAATTAATGTGTAGAAACACTTTTATTTATTTTAAATAACAAAGTAAAATGTAATTTATAGTTGTAGATTGTAATTTATAGTTGCTTCACTTATTCTAAGTAGTAAGCGACAAAATGCTTTAGGGAGTTGAAAATAAGCATAGATCCGGGGATTCTCGAATAAGTTAATTTTTTGAACTACTGTTGAATCCACGGACAGGCAAGAGACAACCTGTTGAACTGAAACATCTTAGTAGTCAGAGGAAAAGAAAGCAAAAGTAATTCCCGTAGTAGCGGCGAGCGAAATGGGAGCAACCTAAACCGTAAAAACGAGGTTGTGGGAGAATTATACAAGCGTCGTGCTACTTTGCAAAAATAAGTAAGATGATCTGGGCCATTACACACCCAATTCATAACAATGGTGAAGTGTGAAACACAAATGATTATTGGGAAGCTTTTGTCACCAAATAGACAATTAGGAACTATTCAATACCCAAAATTTGTGATGTTCAACATTGTTAGTTACAAAAAATTTCCTCATATCATGAAAATAATAGAAAAAAGAAGTGTGGATAATTGAACCTGATATAAATTTAACCAGGTAAATTTCTAACATTATAGGAAGCAGCTAGTGTAACTATATACAGTTATGTATGCAAATGTTGTATTAAGATATTAGCAATTAAAATTAGTGATACCAATCATCACATTGGACTTGAAGAGAAATCATAATGATGAGAATATATAGGATGAAATAGAATAAACAGTACTTGTAGCACTTATAAACATAATATAATATAAGCAACAAATTCTAAAGTTGAGCTAGCCTAGTATTTGGCTTCAAAATTGAAGGGCATAATATTATTGTAAAGAAAATCTTTCTGCAAGCATCTATTTATTTCCCTTGATATAACTTTAGAAATACCTATATACAAATCTTAATCTAAGGAACATAAATTAATCAGTTCAGAAAAATATATAATATTTAGTGTGATTCTGAAGTCTGAACAGTTATTTCAGTAAGATATGAATGTTATTTGTTGAATAACTGCAGTGTAATGTGTAAAACTATACTCCGGAGATGAAACACTACTAAGTACTAACCAAGTCCCACATCTCAAAATTAGAGGAAGTGTGGCAGTTATCACTGCACGTATACACCAGGGGTGAGCATGGTTGAGATCATTTTTTTGAACTCAGACTCGATCCTAGATCTGAAGCTAATCTGACCCTAAATGTTGACCGAATCAACATATGAACCCGAACCACTTAGACCCGATTAAATATAACGCATATTTCTTTAGTTAAAATTTTCTCAATATTATTTATTATTATGAATATATAATTTGATATATGAAATGATATATGTATATATATTGTTAATCATATATAATGAAAAAATTAAAGAATTAATGATACTTTCTACCAAGGAGATATCATTACTCTGTATATAATTGAGTAGACATATAGAAATATGACGAGTGGGTAATCATGGGACGAGTCTGGGCTGGGTCATGTCTCATACCTGACCCTAAATATTGATTGAGTCTAATTTCTAAACATGAATCTGATCCTAGATCCGACCCTATTCAGACCCGATCATGATCGGATCAAGTCGAGTGAGTGGGTAGGTTCGGGTCCTGCTCACCCCTAATATACATGATGTAAAGCTTGGATTATACATTTATATTATTATTTGTATAATTATATGACTGATATCTATTATTTGCTAAAATGTTCCTATTTTTATTATTCCATCTTAAAAATGGAAATATTAAACAAAGTAGGTGGACTTGTTGCCTAATTATTTTTAGCCACATGACATTAACTGATTCTAATTGTATTTTTTCATTTTGGGTGCTAATCTCAACCATATGAGAAAAATCATATTAAGAACCATCTTTTATCCAATTATTTGTGCTGGCCACCATAAGTGGCCTAAGCCTATTTTTTGGAAAGCAATGTAGTTTCGTAAAGATTTGTTTGCGAGTTGATTTTTAAATGAGATCAAAGAAAATGAAAAAACTTAAACTCATCTTATACATGTATAGTTTATGACTCTCAAACCTTTCATTTTATTAAAAAAAAACCAATTCGCATATCTAAAACTTATTACACTATTATTTATTAAGCTATTGGAGAATACTCTTCAAAAAAAAAATTAAAGTAGAATTTTCTAAAAACTTTTAAAAGTATAATGATTTATTAAAAATAAAATTATGAGTTAAGTTAAAAATGAATGCAAGTTACACAAACCAACAGTTTCAATTTAACTTTGACTTTGCTAAAGTTTTATTGTGCTAGATGTTTTCAACTTTTGATTTAAAAGAGAGAGTAAATAAGTGTAAAATATTAAGATTACAAAAGTAAATAAATTGAATAGTTTCAACATTTCAACTTAATTACTTTGCTTGCCAAAATAAATAAACAAACTAAATATTTTGAATTTGTATTCCTTAAGAATAATATATTATCACAAGAAAAAGATTTCTATGTCATTATTACAATGTTGTGTTTTTATTCTCTGAGAGTTCAGACAAATTTTTATATCACGATTTCAACACAAATGAAATATACTCTAAACGAAAACGTTTTTTATTTAAAAAAACCACTCCAACCCAATGAGTTTTATTTTGAGATCCTTTTAAAAATGAATATTTTTAGCTAACAATTCCGAACCCATTTCTGTTCCCACACTGGTCACAAACTTGGCCCCCATAATTTATCGTAAACAACTTAAGAAGCGTTCAGCTGATAAATAAAAACGGAGAAAAAAACATAATAATTGTAAAGTACACTAATTAAAGGTGAAAAGTTCGATTTAGTGACAATTGTTTGAGAGAGACAACCACACATTTGAATTTTAAAAATGGAATTGTTCCTTACCTATAAAGTGACAATTCAATTAATAATACAAAAAATATATTAATTTAGTAAATTCTTTTTTTACATTAACACAAGTCAGAATATATATCATCTCTGATCGTGAACTATCTACTATCGAATGTAGATGCTTACATGTAACACAAAATTTATTTAACAATCCATATTTTTTTAATATGAAAATATTATAAAATTGTCAAACTTCATTCCCTCACATATATTACAATAGGGGTAAGGAGCTAACTCTAATTACATTGATTTTTCCATAGCTACATTGATTTTTCATAAGAGGGGTGAAGATAATATTTTAGCAAGGAAGAGTATCAATTATAATTAAATTAATCCTTTAACAAACAAAAAAAAACATTTATAAGACATTATTGGATCTTTAGAAATGATAAAATATCAAATATTTGAGAACGAGAGAGAACAACACTCATCCCAAAATGAATTAATTATTTACCATAGTTGAACGTTATCATTGGTTATACCAGAAAATATTTATCCAAATAATTTAATCTAATATTAATTAAACTAATAAATGAAAAGTATAATATTTATGCACTAATAAATACTTATATATATTTTATACCCACTCCATAAATCATCTTACATTTATTAGTGTACAACTTACAAAGGATACATTTTTGTAAGAAAGATCATTCTTCTAAGAAATTGGTGTCTCCATGTCCTAAGTCAATCATAGTGTACCAAGAATGTAAAAGAATTGTTTTCAGTTTTTTAATTTTTTTAGTTAGGTGACAGTTTTTAATCGGATTTAACAGACTCGAGACACAAAAATGGGGAATGTGATCTTCATTCACATTTTTCTCATAAATAAAACCAAAGAAAGGGGAAAATAAAAGAATGTTGAGCTTCGATGAGTATGGATGTGTGAAAGTTTTAGGGTGAATAAGAAACTAAATTATTGTTAAGGACCTAGTTAAAAATTGTGGAGATGCAGTTTTTTATCTTCCACTTAGTTAGCACCTCAATCCCACAATTTTAGGACATGTTGTTGGCAAGATAAGTGGTAGTTTTTCAAAACTTTCATGTATGCATTTTCTTCATTTTTATCAGTGTAAAAAAGAAACAGATACAAGCACTTGTAAAGATTGAGTTTCTAGAATTATTAGAAATCAATCATTGAGAGAGGAGTGTGGATTATTGTAATGTGTTTCAAGCTTGATCATAGTGAAATTTTGATTTGTTATTTGTGGATGTAAGATTAAATTCGAACCACATTAATTCTTTGTGTTCTTTGAATTGTTACATTCAATTGTGTGTTTGTGTTTAATTCTGTGATTAAACCTAATAGGATGAAATAGAAAGATCTGTTTCAATTTGGAACACCAATCTCTCTTCAGCTTCACTTCATTATTCTTAATACTTTCTTTCAAACTGTTCCAACTTTGTACCCAACACAACATTACACGTTTAATATACATCTCTTCCATTATTTCTTTCACTCAACATCTCCACCACAAGGTACCATTTTTCCCCTTCTTTTCATTCAAAGTTACACGCTTGATAATGATTCTATTAAATATACATATGCCATCAATTGCCTTTTCCTTGACTCATAGAAACAGATTCTGGCCAAGGTGACTTGCCATCGTGACCGAGGAAAGCAAAGCCAACACAGGAACTGACCGAGATTGGCCAAGCCTGGCCTAGACAAATCTGCACCAGAGATGCATCACTGACCTAGACAATACGCACCAGTTATGCATCAGTGGTGCATGATTGGGACTTCAGTGGCACCACTACTTGGCTTCTGTTGGCTCAACAAAGGCAACCAGTGGCTTTACATTAAAAGGATTCATCAGAGCATTATTTTCATCACATGTGTTTATTATTTAAAGCACATGTGCTTTATAGCTTAGAGTTTGTTATTTTTGTTATGTTAGTTTTAGTTTTTCTTGCAAGACAAACATCCTATATATTGCTTCTTCCTTGCATTGTAATATTAAGAGATTATCAATAATATCAAGAGAATTTTTCTTTACATCTTACATACATGGATTCCATTATGGTATCAGAGCTCTCATTTTGAGAGCTCTGCTGTTTCCTTTCTTATCTCTTCTCTTCCACATCTATTCTTTACTAAAACCACAATCAATCCTCTCTGCCAAGCATGGATAATCAATCAGAAACTTTACAACAACAACAGCAACAGAACCAGGCATATGACATCACTCACAATCCTTACTACCTTCATCCAAGAGAAAACCCAGGCATGATCTTGGTCTCACCACCCCTAGATGCAACAAACTACCACTCATGGAGCAGAGCCACGAGGAGAGCATTGAAATCCAAGAACAAATTCAAATTCGTTGATGACACCATAAGGGAACCCCAAGAAACAAATCCCAGCTTTGAAGCTTGGGAAATATGCAACACCATGGTAATTTCTTGGATAACAAGATCTCTGACACAGTCCATTGTCCAAAGCAG